TTTAATCGTACTTAAACCCTAGATTTGGGATTAAATAAGGTTAAATGTTAATTAATGATGATTAAACCCTAGGTTTTGTATAATTAAGTTCTGTAAATGTGAATAAATAAATTTATATATGTTCTATATTTCATGTAAGTATGTTTATGCTTTTTATGTCGATAACTAGGGTTTATGTCGATAACTAGGGTTCATGTGAGTATTTGGGATTTTAAGCTTGATTAGGTTGAATCAAGTTTAAATCATCATGGAGATAATTCTTTTTATTGGTATTTACTAGCTTTATACTGTATTAAAACATGATAAACACGTGACGATTGCTAAGTGTTATATGTACACGGATGTGTGCTTGTTTCTGCTTAGTAGTCGACTACTAAGAGTAATAGTCGACTACTAAGGTCCAGTTTGTTCTACATAAACTGTCTGATTACAGAGTAGTCGACTAATGTACAGTGTAGTCGACTACTAATACTGATTCATTCTTTGTAGAGTCTGAGTAGACTCGGTGTAGTCGACTACTAAGCTTAATAGTCGACTACTAAGGTTGTTTTCCTGAATATTGTGTTGTTTTGATTCGGGATGCGATCGCGTGGTTTGAGTCGCATGATAGTACACATATAGACATGAATATACATGAATAATATCGTAGTACACACATGAGTATCCCAAAGGGGATTTGACAAGTGTTAAGTGATTACACTTGAGTTGGAGTAGTTTATACACATGTCGGATATCATTAATGAGCGCAGCTCAGTACTATATGAGATAGTGCGTTGATATGCCAGATTTATACAGTTCATACATGGGATGGATATAGTTGATGAGCTCAGTTCAGTACTACGTGGGGTAGTGCGTCGATATTCCATTTGTACAGGCCATTGAGTTGGGTTTGGATGCTTTGTCTAGCAGTTCGTCTGCATGAGGGTGCGATGAGGCTTGTGAGCCGTCTTTTAGGATACCTATAACGTAGGTCGTCCCACATTCATGTTACGTCCTGAGATCGCAATGAGACTTATGAGTCGTGTACATTATTTTAGGATACCTACATGGTAGTCCGTTATGCGTGATAATGCGATGAGATCGGGATCTTGCAAAGAATTGCAAATGAGATAATTACTTGATAGTCTGAGTTTTGATGGATGCCAAAAGTGTTTATGTCATACTGTTGAATATATATATGACCGAGATACCTTACTCTAGTGAGTAGGTGAGACTTATATGCTGATGTTCATTATGGTGTTTTATTTTCTAATGATGTTTCTTTCTATAGTTCGAGATTAATATTTAGATATCCGCAGTTTGAGACATATGATATATACATGAGGGTTTCCTTGTTTAGATTATCTCGCTCAATGTACTACATCTCGTGTTGTATATTTATAAGTATTAATACCATTAGATACGGGAAAAATAATCTAGGTAGACTATGCTTAATAGATAGAGCCTCCACTACATGTAGTAGCCCTTCCCTTAGAGACGGATTGAGGTGATCTTGCTATAGCGTTCTGACGCTCGTGTTGTTTCTCCTTTTGTTTTAAATTTCTTTTTAGGCAGCTCAGAGCTTCGGAGAGCTGCAAGATGACGGAGTTCTAGCATAGTCGTCGTCACATAATTTTACCATTAGAGGCTCCACTGTAATTTTGTATTTTCATTCAGACATTAGAGTTTGTATTTAATTTTTGTAAAGGCCGAGTGCCTTAGTGATACTTCAATTGACACGATGTATTGAGACATATTACACTTGTTCCCATTTTAGTTATATTTTATTTTGTTCATTTGGGACATAATATTATTATTTAGCTATCTCTTCTGTATTCTTCATGTTCATTGCACTACCATCATATTCTTTTGCTTGTTTTGTACCTACACTTTTTTTGATTCCATTAGAGGATATTACTGTGATTGGTAAAATGTGTTAATACACTATGTGGGTGTATGGCAGGTTTGACATTCTTGGATTTACCTTGGACTGTAGCCTTGTATGAACCCATAGGTGTCACACATATGAAGCCTTTGCTTGAGTCTTATATAAATTGCAGCATATACTTCCTCTAGCCACCACAAGAGAGCCTTTGGTGATTTTATATTTTCCTTCACCAAATTGAATTTCATATCCCATTCAGTCCAAAGTAAGACCAGAAAATCAAGTTGAGCCGCAAATTGAGAACATGCCGCATATTCTTTAAGATCAATGTGCATCTGGTATCTGTCTGCAAGTGTATATCACCAAGTCCTATAATCTTTGAGTAGCTGGCATTACCCATCTTCACATTGCTAAAGTCCCCTACTTTATACGATGTGAAAATGTCTCGATAGGAGGTAGCATGACATGTAGCTCTTGTATCCACTATCCACTCGGAATTCTGACTTAGAACATGCATACAGTCTTCTTCCCTGCAAATAAAATAACATTGATATCAGACAAAATAGTTGTAGTGTCACCGTTAGCTTTTTTCTTCTCATCTTTCTTTCCATCTTTGTTCCCAACTTGCTCTTTCTTCAATGTCCAATAATTCTTCTTGATATGACCTAACTTCCCACAATAAAAATAACATTTCATTTTAGATTTTAACATGCCCTTGGATGTGCTACGATCTCTGAACTGGTCCATGTACCTGCTCCTGCCCCTGTTCTCCGTGACAAGTGCCCGTGAGTTATCTGTGCTGGTAGACTTCCTCTGAGTCTCCTCATTGAATAAACTACTAGTAACCATACTCATTAATAACACACCATTTGGAGCTGCATTGTTGACTGCCACAACCAGTGTCTCTCAACTGTCTGTCAAAGAACCCAATATCAATAAAGTCTGTAGCTCATTATCGATAGTCATCTTCATAGTAGCTAACTAATTAATCAAACTCTTGAACTCATTCAAGTGCACTTCTATGTTGCTTCCTTCTTTGAATTTCAAGTTCACCAACCGCCTTATAATAAACGACTTGTTTGCCGTGGTCTTCTGCTGGTAGAGATCCTCAAGCTTCTGCCAAAGAGACTTCACATTAGTCTCACCCGATAGATAATGAAACACACTAATATCGATCCACATCTGAATATAACCGATCGCCTTCCTATGTTGTTTCCCCCATTCTTTATCAGTCATCTTTTCTGGCTTGGCTTCATCTTCCTCAACAGGATCATGTAAATCTTTACAATATAGAATATCTTTCATCTTAGACTTCCATACTTGCCAATTGGAACCATCTGATTCCATCATTGTGCCAAAACTCTTCATCTTTTCTATCCCAAAGCACGCCTCAAATTAGGGCTCTGATACCACTTGTTAGGGATTTTATGGAGATTAATCTGCGAAATTAAACACTAAACGAATAACAGCACCAATAAAAATACCACAAGCAAGCAAACACCAAGATTTAACGTCGTTCGGCAAATCGTGTCTATGTCCACGGGGCAATCCAAAGAGAAATATTTCACTATGAATCAAGAGTACAATCCCTCAAAGTTCCACTTGAATTTAAGGATTAAATCACAAGAAAATATATAGAATATTACCTCTAGGGAACCAAAACCCTAAAACACGTCTTACCAAAAATCTCCAACACCCGCGGAGAAACCAACATCGTTCGCTCTACGGCATCGTCGTTCTGAAGAGAATGACTTTTAAATCACTGCAATAGGACAATCGAGCTATCCGAAATCTGAACATTTCTCTCTCTCTCTCTCTCTCTCTCTCTCTCTCTCTCTTCTCTCGAGTTACTATTTATGGTTTACCGTAGCACCAAAAAAATTCCAGGTTTCTCATGAATAGAATTCCTTTATAAATGAATTTTATTTACAGGTCCTCCAAACTTATTCCTATTACAACTAGTTCCTCCAAATCATTTTCTAGATAGAATTTTAATTCATGTGAACCTCATGTGGGCATTATCTTGGGCTGAACCCACAATATGAGTGAGGGTAAGGAAGTTACCACTTTGGTTAATCACTAGCCGAACCAAGGTTAACACTTGACTATTAATCTAAAGATGGTTCTATCAAAAATAAAACAAATAGAAAAAAACATAAAGATCGATTATTCACATAATCTTCCAAAAGTTTTGGAGGTTTCACGTAACCCTTCTCCTTCTGAACTTTCTTTATCTCCCGTAATTCCCACAAAATTTGAAGGTGTGTCACAAAACCCCTCTTAACTTTAGCTTTTCGCGCCAGATCCTTCACTTGTAATTTGCAAATAATTTAAATGTCATCAAGAGAAAGATCTCAAATTTTATCAATTTTCATCTACAGGCATATATATCTCCCCCCTAATTTGTTTTTTGTATTTTTGTCTCAAGAAAATTTTATTTACTTGCAAATTATACACGGGGGCCGATAAGAAAAGTTCTAAGGTCAAGAGGGCCATGCCGGGCAAACAAAGTTCAGGAACTTTAAGTCAAACTCCCCCAAAGTTTAGAGGGTTTTGTGAAACTAACCCTTACAATGACTTATATAATACGCGGACCTAATGGCAATTTCAATGATACGAGGGACACAAGACAACAATAACGTTCCTTTGGCAAATACACCCAAAGAATAAAAAAAAGAAAAGAACAATGGAGTAACTCCCATATCACATGCCGCAAGCACCGCACCGCACGACGCGCGCGCCGTTCTGCGAACCACCGCCCTCTCATTCCTCGATTCCGACTCACCGCTTCCAGCGCGCGAGCCGAGCCAACATCGAGAGGGGCTCAAAAGCGGCAGGGATTTAAAGCGGTGACCAACCCAATGCATTCGACTCAGCGATAACGTTACCCCCCCCCCCCCCCCCCCCCCCCCCCCCAAACACCACCCGCTCTTTAAATTTTCTCCACTCCCCCCTCCCTCCCTCCCACGGTCAAAACACATCCAACTTCTCACCGCAATGGGAGCGAAGTGCAGGCAGAACCGGTTGGTAAAGAGACTCGTGAGGCTCCGATGCTCCGTTCAGAATACGACTGGGGGGTGGAGGGGAGGGAGGCCGGCGGTGGCGAGGCTGGCCGAGGGAATTCGGGGAGGGGGTCGAGGCGGGGAGGAGGTACGCCGAGTTCTGCGATGGGGACCCACGAGTCCGGGCCTCGTTCGTGGTTGTGGGCCCGGCGAGGAGGAGACGCTGAGGAGTTGGGTGAGGAGAGGCCCGGGGTCCTGGGGGAGAAGGTGGGGGGAATGGGGGGCCGATCTCCCCTTCCTATTTAAGGTTTGGTTTATTTTATTTTTATGATTTGACAGGATTTTTTCTTTCTTTCTTTCTTTCTTTCTTTTGGTTGTTATGATTCATGTGCATGGGATCATGGGATGTGACGGGGGAATACTTGAATGAAATTTCACCTTTTTCTTCTATTTTATCTTTAAATTTGTGTGGGCTTTTTGAAATATGTAATTCAGTCTTCCACTTTTTTTCTTTCAAACTGTCTGTTTTGGATTTTTCCAGAAAAAAGATCACGAGATTTTTGTTCTGGGATTTTATATTAACTGTGTATTCTTTGTTAGCGCTTCTCCAGTGGCTCATTTGCATGGGACATGACAGTGGAATCTGATTTTTTTTGTTTTGTTTTATGAATTCGGGTGGATTGCTTTAATCTGGTTAAATTGTGTAATTTTGTTTATTTTTTCCCTTCTTTGTTCGGTATAGCGGGCTAAATTTTCAATTTCAATTCTAGTTCTTTGATATTACCATGCAATTTATGTCATGTGATATTAAGTATTTGGAAAAGAATTTTGTTATTTGCTAGTGTTTATTCTATGGGAGGCAAATTTTATTTGCACGGGGCGTGTTTAAAAGTATTTACTCTGTTTTTCTTTTTTATTATATCTATTGAATTTACTAGGAAAAGGTCATCATTTTCAGGTTGTTTTTTTCCCTGGGTTCGATTTTTTCTTTAGTTCAGGTTTTATTAGATATTATTTTTTGTCCTCCTTAATTTGTTCTAGAGGAAAGAGAGATGGAAGTAATGGACTTTCACTAACTTGAAGTGGAGAGTGATTGATAGGAAAATTGCGAGAGGAAATTATTTCTTAGAGGATACCTCCACCTCTAATGATGTAAATGAAAAGGTTTACCTTAGTTGAAGGAAGCTATTTCTTCTACGAAGAAACAACTAATTTCTTTTTTCTATTCTGGAATTTGATTGGTAGGCGATCCTTCTTGTTTAAGCTAGCTCCTTTTTCTTCTATCCTTTGGTTTTTAATTTATGGTTTACTTATTTGTGGTTACAGCTAGTATTATTTAATCAAACACATCTTCTATTTTAACCTTTTTTTTAATCTTTTTTCTGATGGTTTCATTAATTATGTATTCTTTATAGGTTCTATCAGTGGCTAAGGCTCTATCAATACAAGCACACCCAGATAAGGAGCTAGCAAAAACACTGAACAAGACACATCCTGATATTTATAAGGATCCAAATCATAAGCCAGAGATGGCAGTTGCCATTACAGAGTTCAAGGCTCTTTGTGGTTTCATCAGCACAGAGGTATATCGAGTGTCTTTCTTATTCAAATTGGTTGGTTGCTGTATTTTCTTAAGGGAAATGAATGAAATAGCTAGATTTTCTTAACCTTACGTTTTCACTGTCAAGGGTGCGGCTTCTAAGTATATATTTACTCTCTGGAATGCTTCGACCCATTCTTTGTAGAGGCGAGTACGATATCGTGAGCTGTGCATCGTCGAAAAAATTCCCCCTCTACGTCTGTTTGAAAACATAAAAGAATTTGCTTTTTCTTGACGATTTACATCCCATCCACATCCACATCTACTGAGGAGCATATAAATCTACCCTTTTTTTTTTGGCTATTCCATCATTGCATTATGGATGAAACTGCAAACTTGACTTCAACAGGAATAGACTACAAATCCAATTTCACAAGCTCAAGGTGAAAACTTTGCAAGAAAAAATTACCTAGTGAATCATAATTAGTGCATACATATTTGCGTGCTTCCATCAATCAGTTATTATCAACAGTAGTAATTGACGAAATATAGACTATTCTTTGCATAAATTCGTGTGCTTTCTAAAGTTCCAGAACATTGTTCGGGAAATTAGTTATGGGAAAGCATTATTTAGTGAAGAATTATGAACTGCCCCCTTAATAGTATTATAATATTTATGCAGGAATTAAAGGATGTCCTGAGCAGTGTTCCTGAAATTAGGGAGCTGGTTGGTCCAGATGATGCAAGCAAAGTTATGGATATCAAAGAAAAAGATACAGATGAGAAAGTAAAACCTGTATTACAGTCAATCTTCACTAAGCTTATGTCTGCAGATAAAGACACAGTTTCTGGACTGGTTCTGAAACTGAGAAGTCGCTTGACCGAGGAAAGTAAGGTACTGCTAGATTATCTTCTAAATTTGCTGTTATGTTATTTTATTTTATTTTCAATTTTAGAGAAACCATTTATGTTCTTCTTTATCAAATTCTTTGCTCTTGGTTGGTTTAATGTTTTTCGAACAAAATAGAATATCGTACATGATGCTTCAGGCTGCTACAAAACAGGTAGCAGTGCCAATGATAGGAGAAAGATATGGTGGAGAAGCTGTGCAACGTTACTAGCAAAAAAAAAATTTTTTTTTTGGAAGGTTGTTTGCTACTTCGATTGTTGAAGGAGTTTGTGGTGGAAGGAAGAGAGAAATAAGAGAGAATAGAGGGAACTTCGTCATAGTAGAGAAATAAGTGAAAGTAAGGTAACTTAAATAGCATTCGTGATCATATTGTTGACAGAAATATGAATAGGTGAGCAAACCTTGACATGAAAATTTTCGTTGAAATAGTAAAACTATGGCCGAGTTGGCTATTAGCTGGACCGCTCTTGCCATGGAAGTGAAACCTTTAGATCTCCGTCCCCACATGTGTGATTACTGTCTCGTTATACAGCATCTTTTTATTTGCAATTGGTTATTGATAAATCCCTTCGGATAATTCAATTTGCTTAAGAACTCGCCACTTTGTTATCATGGGATTTCTATGAAATCACAGACTTAAAGCTCATATTATGAAGGGTGTACAGTACATAGTATATTATCTACACTCACCAGTACATATATTATAGCAAGACTATAGCTGCCTGTAAGTATATGCAAAATCCAGACAGAGTATTTCAATAAATCAAAGTATCCTATGTTGCACGAGTGTGGGCATTGAAAACATGGATGCAGGAAGATAATACACATAAGCACATCAAATTCAAAAATAAGATAAAAAAATAAAAACAAAATAGAAGTATCACGTTTAATGTGTGTCTGACGTGATACTGCTTCGTGGTATAAATGTTCATGTCTACAGTTTAGTGAGTAAATATAATTGCACAAATTTTAAGTTTAAATGTACAATTTATAAACTTGAGTAGGCAATTGAATGTCCAATTCTGCACCTTTATACCCACACTATTTCCAACAAATCAGTGCATAATTAGTACATACCTTTGGATCGCATTGGTTCAGAGGAACTTGGAATCCAAGAAGGCTTGTGCTCGTCAATGCTATGATCCACTAATCGGGCCTAACCGTTTGTATACATAATGATCCATTTTAGTTTGTATTAATATAGATCCCTTCATCAGCTTAGGCTAGTCTTTTAGGTTTTATTTCCTGAACATTTTTTTTCTCGTCCTTTATTGACACTGCTGACATCAATATGTGCTATTTGACTCAGACGCGGAACCTAAATGAGAAGGAAGAACTAGCATTGCTATTAGAGAAACAATATCCATCTGATATCGGAGTTATATCATCCTTCTTCTTCAATTATGTGAAGCTTAACCCTGGCGAAGCGTTGTACATTGGTGCTAACGAGCCCCATGCATATATCTCTGGTGAATGCGTTGAATGTATGGCAACATCTGATAATGTTGTGCGGGCCGGACTTACTCCCAAGTATAGGGATGTGCATACACTTTGTTCTATGCTGACATACAAACAAGTGAGAATTTTTCGCTCCCCTTTATCCCCCGCGCGCGCCCAAACCTGTTTTCGGAACCATTTATTTGATTTTTATCATATTGAACATGGTGTTTGGCCATAGTTTCTCTCTTTTTGCTGGTGTTTGTCTATGGATATTTCCCCCCCTTTTTTCCATCAAAGCATTTTGGTCATTTGTAGGGGAAGTTACCTGACAAAACGTAAAGGGGATTAAGTGACATTTCTATAGTCTAGGGGATTTTCTCCAAAAGGGCAAAACTCTTTATTTTCATTTGAATCAGAATTTTTTAATATGCACTGAGAATTCTGAAGTGCACGTATGATATGAATTCTTCCTTAAGAACGAGATCTTTTTGGAAACATGGCAAAATGCATGAGTGAAAGTAATATTTGGCCCTTACTCCTTAGTATCTGCCGCATTTACTTGTGATACAAAATGCACTACTCTTACTCTTCCATGAAAATTTATACAGGGCTTCCCTGAAATATTGCAAGGGACTCCCATAAACCCATACATCTCAAGATACACACCTCCATTCGATGAATTCGAAGTCGATCACTTGATGTTGCCGTCTGGAGAGTCCGTGGCGGTCCCGGCCTCCCAGGGCCCATCCAGGTGAGGGCCGTCTTGAAACGGGCCCCGCCTCCGAGGAAATGGTGATCAGGGAGGGTCATGTACTCTTTGTGCCCGCCAACCGTGACATCAAGGTTAGTGCTGGGTCTGACGGAAAGTTGCAGATGTATAGAGCTGGGGTAAACAGCAAGTTCTTTGAGTAGCTTAGGCGAGATAAGAAGCGGAGATTACTGAAGTCCCTCAAATAAAACCAGCAGTGTGAAAGCTCCAGTAAATCGTAGAGGCCTGGAAAGAGGTCAGTCTTTTAGTGTTCTTTTTTTTTATGTTATGCCGTACGTGTATCATGAGTTGTATAAGGACTTCAGTTGAGAAATGAAAAAATGAAAATAAAAATGGAATAAATCATTGGAGCTTCGTATCCTTTCACATTGCTGTAGTCAAGAAATCTTTATATCATGGAAAATTGCAGAAATAAGGGGTTTGTTGCAAAGCTGTTAGTAAGGGGTTTTTCTTTTTCCCGCTACTCAGCTGGTACGTATCATGATAAAACAGCTCGTGTATAAATCTCAAAAGTCAAATCATAGTTGTAATTATTTCTGTTGAGGATCTTGTAGCGTAATCGAATCTGTAACGCCCCGCCCCGGAATTCCGGAGTCGGTACGTTATTAGATCTGATGGACTGGCCTCACAAACCACCACATGTCTTTTCAGCACGTAGGGGGTCACCCATCCTAGAATTTCTCCAGGCCAAACACGCTTAACTTTGGAGTTTCTAAGAGTTGGGTTCCCGAAAAGAAGGTGCATCTTGGTGGTATGAGTATTCCAATCAAATCTATCAATACTAATCACATCACCCTCTCAAGGGTTGGGGTATTACAGAATCTTTGGGAACACCCCATGGAATTGCAAAGTGTAGCTGTCACAAATAATCAGGCACTTTTTTTTTTGCACCGAGAATACATTTCCGGCGAAGAAAGAAGCAAATATAACAAATTTGCAACTAAAGGGGGGAAAAACATTAGAGTTGGATTTGAAAATTCACAAAAATTGCGGTGAGCTCAAATCCAACTCTAATGTTTTTCACCCCTTTAGTTGCAAATTTGTTATATTTGCTTCTTTCTTCGCCGGAAGTGTATTCTCGGTGCAAAAAATTGCAAAAAAAATAAATTCACAAAAATTGCGGTGAGCGTGGATCGAACACGCGACCTTCAGATCTTCAGTCTGACGCTCTCCCAACTGAGCTATCCCCGCTTGACGTTACTTGAAATCATGAAGAACTTAAAAATACTAAATGCAAGAAATCTGCAATACAAAGCATGCTGCTTTCAGGGTTTGGTCGTTTGGTTGGATCCATCAAAGGAATCTGCTTCATAGCTGCAAGGGAAAGTCACAAACCATCTACAGATATATTTAGCCACTGGCCCTAAAGTCTGGACTACTTCCGAACTCTTAAAACTTCTACTGCACATTTTGTCAACTTCTTCTTTGTACAACTATTCAAAAAATTATAATTTTAAGAAATTCCAAGAGCAAATTCTATTTTAACAAATACCACCCACTAGATTTTGGGGAATAATCCTGATATTTCTTTTCAATTCCTCACGCACATTTCGCAGTGAGTCCCCTGTTCAAAGGATTCTTCTATTCTGGACAAAATCTTTCCGGCGAAGAAAGAAGCAAATATAACAAATTTGCAACTAAAGGGGGGAAAAACATTAGAGTTGGATTTGAAAATTCACAAAAATTGCGGTGAGCTCAAATCCAACTCTAATGTTTTTCACCCCTTTAGTTGCAAATTTGTTATATTTGCTTCTTTCTTCGCCGGAAGTGTATTCTCGGTGCAAAAAATTGCAAAAAAAATAAATTCACAAAAATTGCGGTGAGCGTGGATCGAACACGCGACCTTCAGATCTTCAGTCTGACGCTCTCCCAACTGAGCTATCCCCGCTTGACGTTACTTGAAATCATGAAGAACTTAAAAATACTAAATGCAAGAAATCTGCAATACAAAGCATGCTGCTTTCAGGGTTTGGTCGTTTGGTTGGATCCATCAAAGGAATCTGCTTCATAGCTGCAAGGGAAAGTCACAAACCATCTACAGATATATTTAGCCACTGGCCCTAAAGTCTGGACTACTTCCGAACTCTTAAAACTTCTACTGCACATTTTGTCAACTTCTTCTTTGTACAACTATTCAAAAAATTATAATTTTAAGAAATTCCAAGAGCAAATTCTATTTTAACAAATACCACCCACTAGATTTTGGGGAATAATCCTGATATTTCTTTTCAATTCCTCACGCACATTTCGCAGTGAGTCCCCTGTTCAAAGGATTCTTCTATTCTGGACAAAATCTTCCATGTTCTAGCGTCTATGATTCTACTATCAAACACACAAAAACATATAGCTGAGCAAACACATAACGCTATCAAATTCTATACGAATAATCTCAAGTCACAAACACATCCCCAATCGAATTTACCTGGGACATTTTCAATACTAATTGTATAACTTCTGAACATGATAACAACCAGAAGAGAAATGCATGAAGAAGGGGGGGTTTAAAAAAAAAATTCTTCTTCAGTGTGATCGGTCCTTTGTCCTCATTAGTACCTTAGTTATGGCATGAGCTGCGATGCCAATAGGACAAAAGAGAAGGCACAAGGAAACAGAATGCCTTGTTTCTATGTTATTCTTTATCCCATCATGAAATACTTGCCTGAAGGAAACAAAGTTAAATGTGTCAGCAACTATGAAGTCTGATGTATGTGCACTTTAATAAGATAAAGAGTGTGATGAGATGAACCTTGCGGCAAAAAGGTCTACAGCCATTAAGTGAATCCAGGCAGATGCTACAGTTATTTCGTTCGAAAACATTCTTGTTATGCCAGGTAACTGCAGGAGACATCACCACTGTACTGTCAAATAGTTGGGACAAGATTTCCTTTATCGTTTGACTCAGAAAATTAAAAGGATTGTTAAAATCCCTTTTACTATACCAAAACTCTAAAGTTGTGATAAAACTCGTGGGTTGTAATTTTATACTCTAATATGTCTTTGGAAATTGACCTCCGTTTGCATGGGTCAAAATCTAGGCTCACACAGTGGTTTTCTTTTCTTTTTTTTTATTAATTGCGGATAGGCCCCTTGTATTATCGCCCACTTGTGGATAGACCCCCTATTGCTGTGTTGTTAAGGATAGACCCCCTGTACTATCATCCGATTGCGGATGGACCTCCGAGTTAGATTTGTTGAGTCGTTACCCTCAGGAGGTCAATTTGTCCAAAAACAATTTTCTCTTTCTCTAAGGTTTAAAGAGCCAACAAATTTCACTCAGGGGGTCTAGCTGCAATAACACAAGTGGGTGATAGGACAGGGACTCAGGCATTCTAGCCGGAATTGACCTTCATCTTTTTTAAAAAATCTACTTTAAATGTGTGATCAGTTGGATTTGAATTTAGATTGCTGTGATACCATATTGAATCTCTACCACCACATCAAAACTCAGAAGTAGCTGTGCTAAGAGTTGAGGGTTGGGTTATCATTTTTTATTTTACATAACCTGTGAATATATACACATTTGTATTTAACACAGACTAAAAGATATTAGTCGGAAAGAGAAACAAAATAGTGCAAAGGACAATTTTCATTTAGGATATATTTGTGGTGGTTGATCAGTGCTCTATTTGAAATGAGAGTACAAATGTACTTAGCGCAAAGTATATGAGAAAGCAATCAAGTCATATTAGGAGCAATATGATCTGCAATATCTAGACAAACAAGTATAAAACTGAGATTATATATAAGTTTCCTTCTTATCACTTGGAACATGTAAAATTTCTATACAGTAACAAATAAATGTTTTATGAGTTCCATTGCTTCTGACAAATTAAAACCAAAATTTGATCTACAATGTAGTTCAAGCATTCTCACTGAAGCTGTAGTGGAGCTAATTCATCGAACAATATTATTTTAATTTTATTTGACGGTACAAAGTGAGAGACAAACCTCCGGCAACCAGTATTTACTGGCAAACATGAATCGCAATGTATCCGGACTCCATGAAAGGTAGAGAAGGTAGGCATATAAACATCCAAGAACGACATATGGTATGCTACTCTCCATAGTTCTTTTGGTCTACATATTAGGAGGGGGAGGGGGGAAATATTTGTTTAGATTAAGGATTTATCAAATTTCTTTTAATTATTTTGTCAATAATTATAACTCAATAAAATACTATAACATACTTACAAGTTGAGCATCAGGAGCCACGACCATCAAAGTGTAGAATGGAAGAACAGCAATTGTTCCACAAGTGAAAGCACTTGTAGCGATTTGAGATGCTGTTAGGCCTGCAACGAGAAGTTCATTTTAGAAAGATTTGGAAAATGAAGCAATTTGTCATATTGTGTCACTAATTTAATTAATCTACCAGGTAATCTAACGTGTCATGACAACATAAACTTGGACAAATACTCTTCTGTTATAGAAAAATATGAATTAAAAAATGTAGAATAACTTTAAGGATAGAACGAAAGAAATTTATAGCAGAGAGTTACAGCTAGCCGACACCCTGGGGCCTTTTCTTTGAGTACTGTTCACTCTCGTAACCTCTGGCTGGAACACAATTCTTGATCTGCCTGAAAATCTCCACTGAGGTCCGAGTATGTTTCCTTTATGTACAAATCGTTGTCCAATAAGAACAGTGTTTAGACTTTTAAAAGCTAAGAGTGGCCATCTTTCTGTCTTCGGTGAAGGAAACTGCACTAGGGAATTCCATGGCCGAGTGACCTGCAAATATAATGATGCATCAAGTCTCGAGAAACCCAAGAAAATAGGTAAATAATTTTCAAGTACCACTAGTACAAGTAGTAAAATAAGCACTGAACAACATTTAAAGAGAATGTTGTTTGCACTAACTGAAAGGTAATAAACAACTGATATCCTCAAAGTTACTTCAATTCTTAATCAACTGGATATCCACAAGAGGAGAAAGCTACCAATAGAACTGAAACATGAGAAACCAGATCGAAAATGTGAAAGAAGTAAAACTGAAGTGTTCCCATTGTTGTTCTTATGCAGTGTTGGAAGTGTCAGATATAGAAATGAAGTTGATACACAAAATGAGGTCGCTAGCAGCATTCAGTAGTCTTCTGAAGCTTAAGTAGACGCAAGACAACATTCTTATTTCATAGTACAAATATAGAAAGTTGAATCTGAAACTCTAAAACTTTGCAAATTATACGAAAACTCCAAAGAGTGTAATTATCAGCACTATAAGTAGTTCTTAAAATATATCTATATATGTATATTATTCTCTAAGCATGGGAAGAATTTTCCTTGTTCTTCCTCTATATATTAGAGTTAATAGATGGCAATGATGCCACTATCATGACAACAGGATTTATCAAATTTTTTAAGGAAATGATTTGTAAATAACTGCAATGAACTGCGTGAGTTGATAAGGTTTGATGGCTTTGAAATTTAATGAGAATCAGTAATAGACATCTTTTACTATCAAAAGTACACAGAAATTTTAAAGTTTAAACACAGCAAGCTTCCCTGTCCTTGTTAATCACGAAGAATTCTATCCAATTGTCTAATCTTGAAAAAGGGTACAGTGTCAGCAAAATAGCTGAAAACCTAACCAGATCGACAAAATAGAAAGAAAACAAGAGAAACCAACCATTGAAACACAGATTTAACGATATCTGATGATCAATGTGATGACCTACGTCCTCCAAGTATAACGAGGTCATGATTCCACTAATGATCAACTAAGATTACTATTAATCTCTCGGAACCTAATCTCACCACCCCGTCATCTATCTTATTCTCTCAACAAAGATTACTGCCGCTAAGATGCAATCGTATAGGGGTTTAATTGTGGTACCCGGTGCTTTGTATTCCCCATAAATCAGGCTCCGCAACAATGTGATATTGATATAATTGAATACTTAAATGCACTGAAGTTGATGTAGGACGCATAACAAAAAAATTCATGGAGGTATATACACATTATTGACTTTCCCACAAAGAAACAATCATATCTCCTAATCCAGAAGGCAGATTCTAACATATTATATATTTAAATCGCTTATATCGACGAGATGAAACCAATCAGATTGTCAGATTTCCAAAATTACCTCGTATTCATTTTTGATAGAAATTCGAAAGTAATCAGTTTTTTATTCATTCTTGGTAACAAAGTTGGAGTCCCTTTAAATTAGGAAATAAATTCAATTTTAATTCATGTAGGACTCATTTGTTTCCTCTATTATAGAGAGTCTTGTTAGGCAGGATTTAATACTTTCTATTTTTTATAATCCTATTCTAATTATGAATCTATTTTGTTTTTCTATTTAAGAAAAGATATGTAACTTTGAAATTATTAGATCATTTTTACCAAAAAAATTCCTCTTTTAATATTTTCTTCGTGAATTCAGAGATCGTTCCTTTTGCATTTAAAGAGCACCCCTTGGTAGATTTCGAGATTTATCACTTTTGCACTGTTTTAATTAGTAGCAGAGCCTTGTTTCTGATCCGATTGTAGGTGATGAAGCACATGTTACTTGAACTTAGATTAATACTCACACAAACCGACTTGCATTGACAATGAAGCATTTGAACTCGTCAAATGGGTGCCAAAGACGTGATCCAACTCCATAAGATGAATTCAATAATGATGAGGATGAAGACCTACCTCGAAATCATGATCGTTCTTCTCAGAATGAGATATCTATATACTTAAAACATGAAGGTTGATTTACTGTCTTTCAATGGGAATCTCAATGAACATGATTTTCTTAATTGGATTGATGAGGTGGAGATATTATTCAGGTACTTGGGAATCACAGAAGATCATAAGGTTAAGTGAGTAGCCTGCCAACTTAAGAGTAAAGCATCTTTTCGGTGGCAATCATTATGCGAGGATCGAGCCCGTCAGCAGAAGCGTAACTGTAGGCACTAAAAATTGCCTTTAAATCCTTATCAGAGAAGTTCAGAACAAAACTGCTAAAACCTCGCCCGAAATAGCCAACATCTCCTTCAGGGAGTCGATGGTTGCTTGTTGCTCATCGAGTCTCCTGGATATCTCGTCAGGGATGCCAGTCATGTGCACACTCACGTGCCTGCCTCGAATTGAGCTTGAAGTCTGCGACGTTGTCGTTGCCGAGCAATCGTCGTCGTCGTTGTCAGAGACGGACGTCAGACCCGTGCCGGCAAACGGGGTGGCCACCCCTATTTGAGCGTGAGCGTGTTGGCGAGGTTCAGGCTGGCGAGGTTCGCCCGTTAGGCGAGATTGGTACACTACGCCTGCGCCTGTCTGGCGAGCTGTTGCTTCGCCTTTCTGGCGATCTTGAGCCGTCAGGCGAGATTGGTGAAGTCCGCTTGTTTGACGAAGACCTCTTGAACTGCAGAGTTCGCCAGGTGCCCTTGGTTCGCCAAAATTGAGCACCTTGCTCACAGAGTGGGGCTCGCCTAAACTGGTAGGCTCGCCCGTTTTGAGCGGTTCGCCAAAACTGGGAACCTGGCCCAAGAGGTTGGGCTCGCCTAAACTGCTAAGCTCGCCTGATTTGAGGGGTTCACCAAAAATGGAAACCTGGCTCAAGAAGTGGGGCTCGCCTAAACCGTTTGACTCGTCTGATTTGAGCGGTTCGCCGAAACTGGGAACCTGGCTCAAAGAGATGAGCTCGCCTAAACTGCTAGGCTCGCCCGATTTGAGCGGTTCGTCAAAAATAGGAACCTGGCTCAAAAGGTTGATTCCTCTCAAGCCTGAATAATAATTCAGGCTGTCGTGGGGGATGAGGGATTGCGCCTCGAGACGAGCGAGAGCTTTTCGTCGCCGCTGTTTGGATCTTTTTGAACGAGGAGCGTTCATGTCGACGACGGAGACGTATTCTGCGTCGACACAAATGGTTGATTCCTCTTGCACAGGGGTCTGCGAGGATCGTTCATCGACCCATTCAGCAGCCCCTAGACCTGCATTCTCGAATCTCGGCTCGGCCTCAACTGGTTCGGGGGGAAAAGAACCCCCTGCCTCGGCTTGGGTAGATCCCTCAGGCTTGGTTGCCTCAGCCTCTTGGGGCTGGGCCACCCGCACGACTCTGCAACCATCGCGAGATGTATTGCTGCGAGAAGAGGACGATTGTAAGTACCCTTCGAATTTGATCACAAGGGACTCAACAGTAGGGGGAAACGCAGATATCTCCCAAACCGTAAGGAATTTGGCGAAACGGAGGAAGCGAACCGAAGCCTTCGGCTAGGTTCGGATGGCTCCATCTCGTCGAGATAGGCGATTTTCATATATAATTCGTCTAATTCCGACTTACGGTTTGAAAGTTACGGCCTATTCTTCGATCCATGCTCTAGAGCTCGCCTACAGACCCAGGGTCGTCTGCAGTCCCCAGCTTCGCCTGCACCTGCAAATCCACCTGCAGACCCAAGTCTGCCTGCAGTCCTAAATCCGCCTGCAGACCCAAGTCTGTTTGCAGTCCCCAGCTCTGCCTGCAGTCCCAAATCTGCCTGCAGTCCCCAGCTCTGCCTGCAGTCCCAAATCCGCTTGCAGACCCAGGGTCGTCTGTAGTCCCCAGCTTCGCCTGCACCTGCAAATCCGCCTGCAGACCCAAGTCTGCCTGCAGTCCCCAGCTCTGCCTGCAGTCCCAAATCCTCCTGCAGACCCAAGTCTGTCTGCAGTATCAAGATCGCCTGCAGACCCAAGCTGCAGACTCGCCAGCTCACTATCAACTGCCCACTTGGAGTATGAGAACAGTTACATCAGTGGTCAAATCCCACAAATCAAGGGAGAGGGCACAGTACCCCAAGACCGTCAAGCGGCCGCTCACAGTACGAATGATTGGGCAGGTGTCGAGTCGACCTGAACATTCATAAATACAGCTCACCTCGGCTGTCTGAGTCAAGAGCCGGATCCGCCAGCACTCGGTGAGCTGTCCAAGCCCACTCGAGTACCAGGAACCCGCTTTCCCACCTCTCTCGACCTGAAGAGAGAAGATACGGTACTCCAGGCCCGCCGAATAGCCGCTCACGGTACAAGTGGTCAGACAAACGTCAAATCAATCTGCACCCTCATAAATGCGACTCACCTCACTTGTCCAAGCGAGAGGCGAAAGCCGTCGGTGCTCAGTGGGTTGGTCAGATCCACTCGAGTATCTGACAACCGTCGTCACACATACGAGGAGGGGCTTTCCCGCTCCTACTTGACGTGATGCCAAACACGACTCCTCGAATGACCGCTCATGGTACAGATGAACAGCAGGATATCTCTGAACAATGTATGGTCACATCCCATGATTCAAGGAGCGGCCACGCTATCTCTCCTCTATTTAAGAACCTCGCCCGGCTACAGGAAAGAGGTTCACACATAGTTAATTGATTAATTCAATCAGTTAACTGAACCACCAGCTCTCGACTCCCAACCGAGTCGACGACAAGCTCTTTGCATAACTCTTGCACTGTAACGTCTTCTCCTAGTTCTGAGCCCTGATCGCCGGTGAACTAGAAGACTCAAACTCCATCGAACCGAGTTTCTACTGTGTATTGAAGCTCCGGCAACAACTTTGATCGGATCGTCCAAGGGAAGCAGACTCGGCGCGAGCACCGAGCGAGGCGTCCTATCGCCACCAAGGAACCCACGTTAAACAAGGAGGGCATTCCCTCCGCTTCTGTTGTAAACATTTGATTTATTAGTTTGTAATAAGCCTTCTTATCAATACAAACGAAGTTCCCTGTTTTCGGGAGATCAAAATTTACACCTACAGTAACATTCGATCATGGGCGAATACGAAGGAAGTGTTGAAAGCTCATTTTCTTCCTACCTATTATTATGTGTTCAATCGATATCCGAGTTTACACTCTAAACTATGATCATGTAAAGATTAAGCAAGCATAGCTTGTCCCTAAGCAAGACTCTGAGGTTGTGAAGAGCATTGAAAAAGCATAAAGAAAGAAGAAAGACCTCTAAAGCACAATATCTTCCACAGAAGATGCACCATAATGCAGAATACTTGTGATGTTATCATTGACAGTGACAATAGCAAGAATTTTATCTCTCAGCGTATGATGAAGAAGTTAGGCTTGAAGATAGAGAAATGCCCCACCTCCTACAAGATCGACTAAATGCACAAGAGCAATGATGTGCAGATCGATCAGGTGTGTCGAGTATCCTTTTCCAATGGCCATAACTATATTAATCAGGCGCTGTGTGATGTGGCTGAGATTGATGGTTATTATATGCTTTTAGGTAGGCCATGATAGTTTTACATCGGTGCCTTCCATAGAAGCAAAGACAATGTTTATATCTTCAAGAGTGATATACGTTGAATTGTACTCATGTCTTTTATAGAACAAGAGTCGTGCAAGATAAGAGACTATTGAGAAGAAGAAACTTTTGGTGGCAGATAACGAGCCTTTCACAGAAGGCTTGAAGCAATCTAAAGAGGTCTATGCCTTGATTGTAATTGGAAAAAAAAGCCTATCCCTCTCGAGATTCCTCTTAAGGTGAAAACCCCTATTGCAACTGAGATTCCTAGTGTCGATGGTGATATGTCAGTAAAGATAGATATTATGTATGAAATTCTCGAAGCTATTGTTAATGATATTACACCTGCTAATGTTGTTCCGATTGAGAAGAATGGTAGAATAGAGAGCGATGCGAGTGATAACATGTGTAAACTGTCTGGCAAAGAATTTACAGCAAAGAAATGAAAGAATTGGGGATGGAGTACGAGAAAAATTCTTCTTCGATTACAATAATTGTCAATAAGTTCAACAATGTCGAGATGATGTTTACAGCACTATAATATAAGAAGCAACAATGAACATATTTAGAGGAGTTTTTCAAGTAAATTAATCCACATGCCGCCAATCACATGGTGTGGAAAAGATTCATTTAAAAGTTTGATTTAGATAAAGTTTTAACCAAGAAGGCAAAACAGAAAATCGTTGTTAAATACAAGGCAGATGTTGATCGATGCTGGAGAAAAAATATTTATCGAGGAAATTACTATTCAAACAAATATAAGGTCAAGGTCAAGGTCAAGGAGACTGATGTAGGACGCATAACGAAAAATTCATGGAGTGGGACGATCACGAGCTAAACGCGGATATGTACGCATTATTGAACTGCTCGCAAGAAAACGACAATATTCTCCCAATCCATAAGGCAGATTTTGACATAGTATATGTGTAAATAACCTATCTCGACAAGACGAAACCAATCAGATTGTTAGATTTCCAAAATCTCATCACAAGTACCCATTTTTGTCAAAAATCTGAAAACAATCAGCTTTTTATTTATTTATAGTAATAAAGTTAGTTAATTTAGATTAGAAAATAAATTCAATTTTGATCCATGTAGTACTGATTTATTTCCTCTATTCTAAGAAGCCTTTTTAGAGTAGGATTTGATACTTTCTATTTTTTTTATAATTCTATTCTTATTATGAGTCTATTTTATGTTTCCAATTCAAGAAGGGGCATGTAACTCAAGAATTATTAGATCATTTTTATCAATAAAATTCATCTTTTAATATTTTCTTCATGAATTCAAAGTTCTTTGTGGATTTGGAGATTTATTTTTTTTTATTCAAAGAACACCCCTAGTTGAATATAAGGTTTATCACTTACAGGCTACGTTAGAAGTGAAGCAAGTTCTCAGCGATATTCATCAAGTTCTCAGCGATATTCATCAAGGAAATAAAATCAACAAGATCATACTACACCCAAAACAGGCGGAAAAAAAATTCAATCTAGAAAGAGCAAAAGAAACATTTTGAACAATATCGACGACTAACTTAATCCAAAGAAATGAACAGCAAGGAGAAAATCCAATATCAACTGAGGGAATGCAACAAAAAAAATCATAAATTTCAATTCGATCAGTCTATGAAACTCCCAGCTAGAATTGATAATAATATTCAACAAGGTACTGAATTTACCCTATACCATCACGAAAAACACGAAATTTCAATGAAGAAAGGGAAAAAGAAATAATTTTGAGGAATACCCACTACAAATCTGATCAAAAGAAAAGTACCCATCAAAGAATTCTAGCAAACAAGGGACGAGAAAAAGAGAACCTGAGCTGCAGAGAAAAGCATTTTCCAAGAGAAAGAAGATTGTAGCTCCTTTCAAAATGAGGCATCCATCCAAAGAGAAGAGAGAGATATAGAGACCAAGAGAGTGCAGCGTGCACTCAAGAAGAAGAAGAGAACAAGACTTAACTCCACCTGCTCACTTTCTCTCTCATCACTTTCTCTCTCTAGAGGAGGCTGACAAGGGAACTGAAGATGCGCATGAGGGTGGGTCAAATTTTCAAAACAGACCTCTTTTGAAATTTATTCCCAAAAACAGACATGTTTCCAACTTAATTTCAAAAACTGACCCAGTTGATTGAAACTGACGGTTTTTAAAAAAAAATTCACAAACGAACTCTCGTGAAGTTTTGTTATGAGAAAAAACTTCACGGGAGTTCAACTCCAGTGAAGTTTGTGAACTTTTTTTTTCTTCAAAAAACGACTCAGTTTCAGTCAACTAGATCGGCTTTTGAAATTAAGTTGGAAACAGGTTTTTTATGGGGAATAAATTTCAAAAAGGTCAGTTTTAAAAATTCCTCCCATGAGGGTGGCCATGGTCGGTTTGGACTGTAGAAGGCCACAGAACATGAGTGCTCAACTACAGCACTACAGGGATTGAAGCACTGAGTCAAGTCAATATTAATTTAAAACAAAAACAAAAGATAAGGAGGTGGGTGATATGGATTAGATAAGATTAAGGAAAAAATTTGAAAACAAACCCATTTTAAAACTTATTTATAAAAAATAATTTATTCTTAACTTATTAGCCAAAACCGACCCAGTTTCTTAACAAAATTTCGCTGAAACTGAGTCGGTTTTGGTGGGAAAAAAAACCAAATTTCATAGGACTTGGTTGAAACTGGGTCGGTTTTCTCCTTAACGTACCAACGGTCTAATTTTAAATTTCCACATCTTGCACACCATCGCACCAACCCCTAGAAAAACTGTCATCATGGAGGCAATTGGTCGAAAAGGAGGAAAAAGTGTTTATTTATGATCTTTCTGTTTTACACTTATTCAAGTATACATTTTTTGAACCATCAACTAGCCGGTGAATAGAAGAATCCCAGGGAATAAAAAGCAGGGAAATGTTTTAGTTCTTCAAAACTACATTTGCAAGAGAAACGAAAGAATGCTTTTTTTTTTTTAATGTATCATAGGTCTTGTTTAATTGTCAAAAAAGTGTGCGGATTTAATGTTAAATGATATAATAAAACTCGTAGAATATTTTGCATCCCATCCGGCACCAAAAGTTCATTAGAAGAATTGTTACGATGAGTCTTTTATGCATATGTTTTGAATTCTGATAGGAAAATAATAATTTTCAACACTGTTTTGCTGAATTATGAGGGAGAAATGTTCTCGCTTATGAGAACATGAAGCGTGAAACTCAAATCAATAGCACAACGCGCACATGACTCTCACGATCGTCATCCCATTATCGTTAACCAACCGCGGGAGGCACGCACATGCTCTCCATAAAAGCTGGCATGTGATTCTTCCCTGTATCAATGAACTCACTCATGTGCCTTTAGATCCAAAAGAGTAACTACAACTTGGTCTTGTCTCTCTAAATTGACGTTCATGAGACCTATATTTAGAACTCAGAATGATGCGTTGATGACTTAGCTTTCATTTCAAAGGCTCGTGGTTCCTATAGAACTCAGAATGATGCGTTGATGACTTAGCTTTCATTTCAAAGGCTCGTGAAAGGAACCACGACCCATAAACATAGAACTAATAAATCTGTGTATATCAAATTTGATAACATGAGAGATTGTAACTTCCGAAATATGTGAATGCTTCAAAGATTTTGCAAGTGATCACCAATGACAAGAAGTAAATCCAATGAAGAAGAACGAGTGAGTATTTATGTTTTCGCGCTGAAGAATTAACCAAGTTAAGAAAAACTTACATCTCAAGTTACAGAAAGTAAGCATAAGGCAACTATTGTATAGTAACTCCGAAAATTCTCTGAAGAAACTAAGAAGACAGACATGCTAACTATTTCTCAGCAAACTTGCACGGTTCCAGACAGTTCATTAACTTCGTTTCTTTCTGACTATTGGGAGCTCAATCTTAGGGTCCCCCTTAGAGATCCAGACTTTTTTAGTTGGGTTACTCTCTTGAAGGAGATTTTGGACAAGTTTAGTCTTCTTCATGTCTACGTATCAGAATGATTGAAGGGAACTGGTAATCATAGACTGGAGCTTCTTCAAGTCCCATGACTCCATATTTGGGGATGCGGCAAAGCCAATTGCAACTGCAACCATGAGCACAAACAGTCCACTCTTGAGACAGCCAGAACCTCGGGAAATTCTGCCCGAAATCACCTTGCAATGCTTGTCTGCTTCCTTAAGAGATGCTTGGTTGCTGGCATCTACGGCCACCGACAGGGCCTTTTCGTTCTGGAAGGGAATACACAAAAGAGGTCCATTACAGAAAGCATATCGTTTCACGTAACATTATACTGTGCAAATATTAGGATAAATTTCACAAAATCCCCTTCAAATTGTCTCACATAAGTACCATGACTGACGGCAGTTACTTTTGAACAACTTTACCTTATACAAAATATAATTTCTACATTGTCCTTTTTGGATAAGGGCAGGAAACAGTAAAAAGTTTAGCTTAGACTTTTTACTCATTTATAAGAAATTTCCAACAATCCATAGGGGTCTAGAACACACAAACTTCAGGGGGTTTCGTAATTCACCCTAAAAATTATCCAGCTATAAAGCTATTAAACATAAATTCAAATGTGATCAGTTACCTCAACCCTTAGGCTCTTAATTGTCTGTCTCAGAGCATCTGGAGGAGAGAATTTGGCTGAATATTCCTTCCACTCATTGGACAATTTACGAAGAACAGCAATGCTTGCACCAATATTCTCCAAGTGCAGTTTTTCCTGATTTTGATGGAGATATCACAGAGCAAGTGAAGCAAGCATAACTATCAGTTGCAGAGACTACTTAGTAACATCCACAAACCCAAATTGGAACAAGAGAAGCTTACCCATTGCTTGTAGCAATCAGGATTCTGAACCAAACACCAGACGAATACATCAGCTGCTTCTCTAGTTAACACTGGATTGTCTGCCAAATTACGGACGTTATGGCTGGGTAATTACGAGAGAACATAAAAGAATAAAATAAGTGGCTGCTGTAGAACTTCTTACTTTCCTGCATTGCTTCCACAGTTAAAGGCAACAGCTGCTGTGATGCCTGCTTTGTAGTTTTGGTACCTGGAGAACCAGCAAGGGCAACCTCCTTGAGGGTGGGATATATTGCCTCAAACCTCTCTGTAGCCTGAACAAGATAAGGGCTTAAAAAAATTGCTCCACGAGCAACACCTCATGAGACTGAAACCAATAGCATCAGCAAAAAGATCAACAAACCTTTACTCGAGCAGATTGAGCAGGAAATGTTGCTCTCATCAGTAAATCAAGTGCAGAAGGTGGCACCAAACGCTCTCCTTTCCTAACAGCACCATTCAATAAAATGGATCGAGCTTTTGGCCCTGACAAAAATCTGGAAAGTGAAAAAACAAAAGTTCAGACCCTCATAATCAGACACTTCATAGATTCTTTTTCCCCAGTTCTGAAGCAAACCTCTCAACCAACTGCAGTGCAAAGTCCCTTGACTGTGGGTTGACATTAGGTTTTCCAGAGATCAAAGGCAACACATAATGAACCCAAGCATACATTCCGGCAACAAGGTCACCTTGAGAAGCCTGTGTATCCAAGCTCTCATCAGTTTGATCTGAACTAAGTAATGAGGAGAGGTTGTATTCTAACTACTTCCGCATAAATATACGAGGTATACTACCTGCCCAACAACCCATACGTGTACTGGGAACTTCTCGTGCCCTTGATATTTGGGGTTATCCCTTACTTTTGGCAAAATGCTGACCAAAATGTCTGGCTTTCGGCGCAATGTCATTGCCAAAACAACAAATATTGCAACCTGCAATTTGGTGTTGTCAGAATAGGATTTCAGAAAAAGCTTCCAAATAGATAGGTATGAGCAGACATGAACATCAACTTCTCACCATGCATTTGAAATATAAAAAATATATAAAAACATATAAAATATGGAAAAGAATGAGAGAAACTAGAGTCCTACTGCCTAATCAACAACTCTATTTCAACTACATAACATGTCTTACCACAAACTATCTTACAGCCAACTCATCCAACTGCAAGTCAATTAAGGATACCGGTAAATTTACATAAGGTTAACGTGTACTAAAGAAACTAGAATGTATGTGCATGCTCACAGTCTCATGTACAAGCTATGAAGCACGGATACTCCTCCGGAGACCACGAATCCGTGTCTGACACGAATCAGAAACGGATTCGTTCACGACACGTGCAAGACATGTGTCGGACACGGTCAATCCATGTCCGACATGGGTCAACGGGTCAACTGAGAGGGATACGGTCAAGAAATATTGGACACAGCTTGGATTCGTTAAAAAAAATTGAAATACAAAACCTGTAACCAAAACCCAAACTCAAAAGGGAACCCTAATATTTTCACTTCACTCACCTGACTCTCGACGCCACCTCGTCCAGTGATCGCGTCTTCTCTAGCATCTCGTCGTCGATCCTCCACCCGAAGCTCGTCGTCTTCGATCTCCTCCACCCGAAGCTCGTCGTCGTCGATCTCCTCCACTCGTCGCTGCTAGGTGAGATCTCTAACTTGTCGTCGTCGATCTCCTCCAGTCGAAGAACTGATTCTCTTTTTCCTTCTCTCTCTCAATATTTCCGTCTCTCTCTCTCTCTCTCAATTTCTCCATGAAGCTCATCGTCGTCGAACTCCTCCACTCGTCGCTGCTAGGTGAGATCTCTAACTTGTCGTTGTTGATCTCCTCCAGCCGAAGCCGAAGAACTGATTCTCTTTCTCTTTCTCTCTCTCAACATTTCCGTCTCTCTCTCTCTCTCAAATTTTCCATCTCTCTCTCAATCTCACCCTCTCGTTCTCTCTTATCTCCGTCTCTCTCTCTCTCTCTCTCTCAACTTATTTTTTTTAAAGACTTACCTTTTTTTGTTTATGAAGCTTTGTGCTACTGCTGATTGGTGAGCAACCGAGCAAGTCACTGACTCGCTTCATTTGATATTTTTTTTCAATTTTAATTTTAATTTTAATTTCAGTTTTAATTACAGCTTCAATTTCTTAACATATGAATATATTTTCCAATTTCAATTTCATATTTTAACACAAATAAATTATTAACATTACACAAATGAATTATAATATTAACATTTCAATTTGTTATGGGCTTATCACAATGAATTACTTGTTAGTCAATAATTTGTTAGTCAATAATTTTTTTAGTCAATAAATTATTACACAAATGAATTATTTGTTAGGCAATGAATTATTTGTTAGGCAATGAATTGTTACACAAATGAATATACATATTTAATGAATGAATTATGGATATTTATTTTGGCAATTGTGTTGGAAAAATTACACAAATGAATATACATATTTAATGAATGAATTATGGATATTTATTTTGGCAATTGTGTTGGAAAATTTGATTGATCCTTCATCCTTGCTCATTGAATGAATTATGGATATTTATTTTGGCAATTGTGTTGGAAAATTTGATTGATCCTTCATCCTTGCTCATTGCTGCTTAACTCTAAGGGGGGTTATTCATTGGTGTAATTTGGGGATAATGGGATAATTTGTGGAACATCAGTGTTTGGTGTTATTGGTTGAGGTAATTAGAACTGGAGTGAACTCTTTGGTGTTATTAGTTTGTTGGTGTAATTATCCCCCAAAAACTCTATTACCCCTAAAAATTATCCCAGCTATATAAGCTTGACTCAGCCCCCAAGCCCAAAATTACCCCCTAATTTAGGGCTGAGCACGGTTCGGTTCGGGTCGATTTTTACCAAATTTTGAAGAACCGAACCGAACCGTATATAATTCAAAACCGAACCGAACCGCTGCAAGTCGGTTAAGTGCGGTTCGGTTCGGTTTGTTCGGTTCTAAGTCATGAAGGCAAGCCATGCATCTCGACTAGCTTAGAAATCTTTTCAACAAAAAGGCTCAAGCTGTCAAAAGCCAGTGATAGCACTGATATATACTGACTTTCATAGAAGGTGCACAACTGATCCAAAAACTATACTAAAGTTACATTATCTAACATTTTGAAAATCCTTGGAAATGTAATTAACACGAAATTATCCTAAAAACTTACACCACTAAGCGAAAAAATAATTTGTTCTCATACGCTCAAAAATACAATCTTTTCCCCATTTCCACAGTTAAACAAAGAGATTAAGCAAAATAGAAAATTTGAGAGAAATTTCAAAAAATAAAGTAAAAATAAAAATTTGAACTTGACCCAACCTGGAGGCGTCAGCGATGGGGGCGATGCCGGAGAAAGCTCTGTTGACGAGTACGGAGAGGAGAGAGATGTCGCCGACATAAATGAGGAGGCTGCGAACGAGGCCATCGTTGTTGGAGACCCAATCGCTCGCAAGATCTCGCTGGGGTTTTGGGCCTTTGTATGAAGAGGAAGAAGATGAAGATGTTAGGGTTTTGATGGAGATCCTGGGGATGAAATGGGGACGGCGGATTGAGGGATTGCTGGAGAGTTAGGTTTAGGTTGGGTTACGGGTGACTTGGGAGTTTATAGTAAGTGAACAACGGGTGAACGGGTCGGGTAACAAAATGGGTATGGATTACTACTTACGGGTCAAAATAAAGGTTAGTGTTAATAGCGGTCGGTTCGGTCTGTTCGTGTTAAAAAATTTTCAACCCGACCCGAATCGACTTAGAACTAAAATCGAACCGAACCGCTAATTTTCGATCGGTTCGGTCGGTTTCTTCGGTTTGGACCGAACCGTGCACACCCCTACCCCCTATCGCCTCCTGGAACAAAAGAGGGGAACAAATTACTCCACTTTCGATCTCGAGCTCGATCGAGAAAAAATTCGTTGTCGTCGTTCTCGAGGTCGTTCACCCGCTCCTCCGTCGTCGTTCTCGAGCTTGAGAGCCAGATCCACCGTCGCCGTTGTTGAGGTCGATCGTCACCGATCTCGAGCTCTTTCGCCCGCTCCGTCGTCACCGTTCTCGAGCATCGGATCCGCTGTCACCGTTCTCGAGCTCGAT